AGGAAAAGGGGGTGAGAGAGGAGGAGATGTTTAGATAGCATCTCCAACTCAATGGACGTGAATATGAGCAAACTCCAGAAGATAATGGAGGACAGGGAAGCCTGGTGTGCTGCAGTCCATCGGGTCACAGATGGACATGACTTAGCAACTGAACAACAACAACAACTTGGAATATTATTTGGCAATCAAAAAGAGCAAAGTAACAAGACATGCTATATCATGGATGGACTTCAAAAGCATTGTGCCAATTGGCAAAAGCCAGGCATAAGAGACCACATGTTATAGATTCTATTTGTTGAAAATATCCAGAAAACACAAATGTATGGAGAAGAAGTATATGAGCGGTTGCCTGGGGCTAAGAGTAGGGAAAGAGATTAATTGTAAATGGGCATGGGGATTTTATTGGGGATCTGAAAATGTTCTAAAACTGATTTATAATGGTAGTTGTACCACTAGGTAAATTCACCAAAAATCATTGAAGTATTTCATGCAATAAATAAATCTTAGGATATGTAAAATATACCACCAATAAAGTTGCTTATAAGGGAAAGGAACATACTATGATAGCTGTGAAGCTGGCCAGAAAGGTGCTATCAACAACCGACTCTAGATGCACTCAGAGCTGGAGTTTGGAGAGCAGGAAGGTGCTGCAGAAACAGATCACTATCGCCTTGCTTTCCACCAGGAATCATCAAAGCCACCTTCCCAATCTCACTCCTTCCCCATGGACAACTTCATGTGCTTCCAGAACTACAGCTGCAAGGGAATCTGGGAAATGCAGTTTCTGCTTTCTAACCTCCACAGTTGAGGAAGTACCCTCAGTTCAGTTCAGTTCAGTTCAGTCGCTCAGTCGTGTCCGACTCTGCGACCCCATGAATCGCAGCATGCCAGGCCTCCCTGCCCATCACCAACTCCCGGAGTTTACTCAAACTCATGCCCATCGAGTCGGTGATGCCATCCAGCCACTTCGTCCCCTGTCGTCCCCTCCTCCTCCTGCCCCCAATCCCTCCCAGCATCAGGGTCTTTTCCAATGAGTCAACTCTTCGCATGAGGTGGCCAAAATACTGGAGTTTCAGCTTCAGCATCAGTCTTCCAATGAACACCAAGGACTGATCTCCTTCAGGATGCACTGGTTGGATCTCCTTGCAGTCCAAGGGACTCTCAAGAGTCTTCTCCAACACCACAGTTCAAAAGCATCAATTTTTCGGCACTCAGCTTTCTTCACAGTCCAACTCTCACATCCATACATGACCACTGGAAAAACCATAGCCTTGACCAGAAGGACCTTTGTTGGCAAAGTAATGTCTCTGCTTTTTAATATGCTATCTAGGTTGGTCATAACTTTCCTTCCAAGGAGTAAGCATCTTTTAATTTCATGGAAGTACCCTAGGATACTTCAAAAGTATCCTCAGATACCCTAGGATACTGATCTAGAGAATGTGAGGAATAGGAGAAAAGGGGGCTCCAGATGGAGGGAGAGACATAGACAAAGGTCCTGAGTGTGTTTAGGAAACAGAAAAGAGACCAACTGGACGGGCCGTGGCAAGGATTTTATTCTAGGCAAGTTGGAAGCTACTAAGAGGTCTTAAGCAGTATGGTTTCCATAGTCCCATCTGCCTCTCTCTGGCTGCTGTGTGGACAATGGCCTTTTGGGGACAAGCGTGGAAACCAGAGACCAGCAAATGATGGTGGCCAGGACCTGGGGGTTGGCAGAGGAACTGGGAGAAAATGGGTGGACTTGAGACACATCTAGGAGGTAAAATTTATAGGACATGGTAAACCTGGATGCTAGAGGAGGGGTTGGGTAGAGATGAACCCCAAGTTTCAGATTAACCCTAATCTTAATTCTCTCTTGGTATCCTTTTCTTTGAACTGGAGATGACTATGATGGGTAATTAATTCATTCAGCAGGTATTTACAAATCATCTACTACATGCTGGGCAGTGGGATAAAAGTGCTTTGCCTGATGTCTGGGCCCAGAGTAAAGAGGAAGATTAGGAAGAGCTTTCTTTTTCTTTCATCTTTCAGAGATCACCTCAAGTGCCCCTTCCCCCAGGAAGGTTTCCTTGATTCCATTCCCAAACCACACGGCTCTCTCACGCTTCTAAGAGGCCGTGATCAGAGCTAGACAACAGGTAGAGAAATGGGCCACATTTCTCCTCGAAGAAAGGAATGGGCCAACAGACCTCAGATTTCCAGTGTTAGCAACTCTAGGAACATTGATCTTTTCCCCACTGGCCCTTTGTTTATGCTCGTTATTTCTGCCTGAAGTGTCTACCCTCTTATTCATCCTTTGACTCAGCTTGGATGCTTCCTCCTCCAGGAAGCCTGCTTTGCTCAGCCAGACGGATTTGCTCTGCCGTCTGTGTCTACCCAGCATGCTTTACTAACTGCAACGTGGTCTGGTCGCTCTCAGGGGTAGAGGGGAATCATTACGTGACTGGGGAGGTGGGTGCCTCACTCTTCAAATGGCCCCATCTCTGGAGAGGTAGCAACAACCCATGCCGAGCACGGTTGGAAGGAGCAGAGGGTAGGGTGCGTTCCTGGGCAGCCCTTCACTTCTCCACACTCAACTGCCATTCAGCTTCAGAAGGACACAGCGGGGCTTCCCTGGTGGCTTGGTGGTGAAGAAGCCACCTGCCAATGCAGAAGACATGGGTTCGATCCCCGATCCCGGAAGATCCCACAGGCGGCAGAGTAACTGAGCGCATGCACCATGATCACCGAGCCTGTGCTCTGGAGCCGGGGAACTGCAGCTACTGAAGCCTGCACCTACAGCCCGTGCGTCGTAACAAGAGAAGCCGCCGCAATGAGAAGCCTGTACAACTCGAGAGCAGCCCCCACTCGCCGCAACTAGGGAAAGGCCCTCGGAGCAACACAGACCTAGAGCAGTCAAAAATAGTAAATAATTGTTTTAATCAGCAAAAAAAAAAAAAAAAAAACCACCACAGCAAAACAGTCCTGTGTATTTTTTTTCAAAAAAGGACATGACAGCCCACCTGTTGGGGCTGCCGTGGGATTAGCTGAGTAAGCACCTACAGGCCCTGAGCCCCCGGGAAGAGCTCTGTAAATGGCCCCCATTACCTGTATTAGGGTGTCTGCCGTCCAGGGGGGCTCTGAGCAGAGGGTTTCCTGCTAGGGCCCCGCTTGCCCTGATGGTCCAGCAAAGAAGAGCCAAAGGGTCTAGAGGGGGGTCCACCCCTAACTTCAGGCACCTCAGGCGCCTAATCTCTGTGCTGGTTCCCTCATCAAAAAATAGAAAAATCCATCAAAGGCTCAATTGGTCAGCAGACTTCTGCAAATATTAATGGAGATGACAAGTGTGAATGTATAAGCCCTGAGTTCCTCCAACCCCAGCCCACCCAAACTGTGGTTCCTTACTAAGGAGGGGAACTGAGTCTCAGACACCCTTCCACCCCTTCTTTCCCTCTCCAGGAAGCTGACCAAATACTGTCTGCAGAAGAGCTAAATAGCCCACCCACCCACCAAAAAAGAAGGTGTGTAACGCACAGTTGAAGACCCAGGGAAACTTCAGGGTTTGAGTCAGAAGTGGCAAGGTGGCCACGAATAGGCCAAATTCAGCCCCAGTCACGTCACTTGAGCTTTCTATATGTTGGTTTCCTTGTTAGGAAATTTGGCCTAATCATAGTAACACCTAGGATCACTGTGAAGATCAAAATTAATATACGTAATGTGCTTAAGAACTGCCTGACACATAGTACATGTAGGGTGTATGTCACTATTATCATTATTTGATTCACATGACGTCAAAGTTTTTGGATTGAAGTGCTGTCAGACAGCCTCTTCCATTTTTGCCCAAGTCCCCACCACTCCTTCTTGTCCTACACTCAGCCTGCCTCCCTGCTCAGCCCCAGAAGGCCCCTGGTTTGAATTCGCAAACACAGCCTGGTCCTTTGTCCTTATTGTGCCTGCCAGATGACACATGAACTCTTGGTTCGTGCCAAGAATGATGATGATTAGAAAACTGGGCCAGACCAGCCCTGTCACCAATCAGGCAAACTCAAGTCAGGGTCCTGAGCTGCCTCCCACACCCGTGGCTCTGCCCCAGCTGGCTGTGTGTCTTCTGGCAAGTCCTTCCTCTTCTCCAGGCTTCAGTCTCCCCAGGTGTCAAATAGGCTCCAGAGCTCCCGTCCACCTCCCAAGCTTGTTCTGAGCTGGGGATGGCGGAGAGGACTTTTCACCCCTGCAAGATCCCTGATTCCTTTCTCAGCAGAGCTGGGGAGCTCTTAGCCTGTCCCCTCTCAATGCTGTAAAGAGAAATCCCACACCAGCTGAGATATAACTGCAACCGCCGACGTTATCCAGATGCAGGTTTTATTAACACGGATAGGAGAGAGGTGCCTAGAAGGATACATATGAGCTGTGACTTCCAGGGCGACGTTTACAAACTCCTGCACCTGTTTATTCCCGCGGCCAGCACACAGCACAGCATCACCTACAATGTTTCTCCCAAGCGGAATACAGCTGTGGGGAGAGGCTCTTCCCACCCACAAAAGGATGCCCAAGAAGAGAACGAGATCCTGGGTGCCGGGGGCGAAGTTTATACATGGCAAATCCTGGCACATGGCAAGGGCTGGAAGCAGGATTTGAACATGCTGGCTTCAACCCCACCCACCCTCACTGGTTGCTCACATCAATGGCACCCTGTTGCACTCTGGGGATCCCTTAGAAGACACACGCTCATCTTAGGGCTAGGGAGGGGAGCAGGCCTGCAGGGGTTGGGGGGAGAGGGACTCTGGGGTCTGTCGCCTCGCCAGAGATACCGAGTCGGGTGACACAGGGTTTGAACTCATCGGCTGGCTTTCTCACATCCCTGATGTAGGTAGGCAAGGCCAAGGGTTTGACGTGTGTGTAAACTGGGGGGCTCGGGAGTATGGTCAGGCATCTAAGGAGGAGGGGAAAAGGGGGGTCACAGGGAGTAGGGTGCACAGGGCTCAAGACGCTCCTAGACCACAAACTGAGTTTACAGGCAACGGGGCTCACTCCTCCAGGGGCTCACCAGCCCAGGCTGCCCGCCGCCCAGGGTGCTGCCGCTTCTCTTCAGCCCCCTGCCCCCGGCTCAGGTCATCGAGGAGACCCAGCAGAAGGCTGGCTTGGCCGCAGGGTCCCCGGGGTCCGCACGGGCTCCCCAGGGCCCTCTTTCCGGGATGCTGGCGTTTCTCGGGCAACAGCTGTCCATCCTCGTCCTCGTCTCCGTCCTCCCCTGCCTCCTCCCAGCTCCTTTGGGCCTTGGAGTCCACCAGTCGTCTGCCTGGGTGCTGCCTCTTGGCGACAGCGTGCCCAAGCCAGGAGGCGCGCCGGCCGGGATGCTGCCGCTTCTGCTGACGCGCGTCCACCGCCCAAGCCGCCACATCGTCCCTCCGGCCGGGGTGCTGCCGTTTGCGGAGTCCCGCGGCCCCTCCTTCTTCCGCTCCTCCTTCCACTCCCTCGTCTGCCTCCTCCTCCCTTTTGCCAGGATGCTGACGCTTGGAGAACCAATCGGGTTGAAAGATCTGGGACTCTGGGGAAGGAAAGAGGCCAATGAGGGACCCCGTGACCCCCGGATGCCCCCTCCAGCCTTCCTTCAGGCAAGACAGATTCCCACAGCATTCGCCCAGATTCATGGCCTCACACCTGCCTCTCAGGCCTCACAGACCCAGGCACACTCACACGGGTGGTCAAGGGCATGGCCTCTGGTTGCACTCCCTAGCTGTGTGACCATAAGCTACTCAACTTCTTTGAGCCTCAGTTTCCTTCTGAGTAAAATGGGATGTGGAAGGGTAATAACAGTACCCATCTGAGGCTTGGTGGTTCAGTCGCTAAGTTGTGTCCGACTCTTTGAGACCCCATGGACTACCATAGCCCTCTCTCCACAGAATTCTCCAGCAAGAATACTGGAGTGGGTTGCTATTTCCTTCTCCAGGGGATCTTCCTGACCCAGGGATTGAGCCTGGGTCTTCTGCACTGCACACAGATTTAGGATCTGACGCTTAGGAAGGTCAAATCCTGCTACGAGGTGTTTGAAGTACTTAGAAGGGTGCCTGGCATACCAGTGCCTAGTATGAACAGGTGCCTAGTAATTCACACTGTAACACACAAAGAAACTCTCTCTCCCTGGCACAGACTCTTTCCCACCCAAGGTCTGCTCTCTGAAATATTCCCAGAACTGAGATGGAAAAGGAATCTGATCCCAGGAAGCAGTCAACTCGCCACCTGCCGAAAGTGTGGCCAGGGGGAGTTTCTGAAAGGAAAGAGGCTGAATGACTAAGAAGCTCCCTCCTCTGTGGCCGGGTTTCCCCTAACCCTCTCTAGCCGGCGTCCTTCTCTCAACCCGCAGCCCCACACAGTCCCAGCCCTCACCGGATCCGCTGTCATCCTGGTCTCGTAGTTGCTGGAGGTCTTCCCGGAGGAGGAGGAGGCGCTCCGCCTGCCGCAGGAGGTCTTCCAGGCCCTGTTGCTCAGACAGGTTCGCCTCCTGCTGGGCCACATCCGGCTGTGCACGGCCTCCGGGGACACCCATCAGGGTCAAGGTCAAAGCCACGGCTAACAGAAACCAAGGGCCAGGCATCTTGGTGTCTAGGGTAGGGAGACAGGACGAGAACATAGGTACAGCGCTGCGCTCCCCTCCCAGCCTGCTCTATGGCTCCCTTTTCTATCCCCCCGGATACCCGAGGCGGGGCGGGGATAGGGGGGAGTTGCAGGGGTATCAACCGTTCAAATGCCCTTCCGGGAGCAGGACCATCTGCCACGTTAGGGCGAGGTCAGCTGGAGGATCTGCCTTGAGTCCTGGGCATCCTCAGCCGTAAGGATGCTTGGACAGCCTGCTTGCCCCCAGGTCTACCTGTGAGAGTCAGGAAGCCACGGGACCCCATCTCCACCACCACTTCTCAATGCCACTCCTGGAAATGACTTTCCAGGAGTGTAACCACCAAGATTGCAGCGCGGGCCCAATGGCCAGGATGCTAACCTGCAGCGTCGCAGGCTGAAATTCTCCCCCAAGGTTCACAAAGCAACGGTTTTATTCCAACACGCCTTCTACTGCGTTCTGATTGCAACCCTGACTCTATTTCTAACGCTAAGATTCTAGGGCCAGGCTAGGAATCAAACTCTAACACTAAGAGGCTAATTTCAATAGGCTAAAATCCTATTTCTAGCTCCGAGACTGAGATTCTCAGACTGAGGTCGGTTGCCACCGTGAACATTCTGTCTGTAAGGTCCGGATTCGAATTCTAACTCCCAGGCTCTCCCGCCGGTGCCCTGACTGCCCAGCGCGGCCCTCGGCATCCTGGCGCGGACCTGCAGCTCGGGGAAGCCCGGCAGCAGTGGAATGCGAACCTCCCCGCGATGCGCGGGTCCAGAAGCCCGGACGTGCACGCCTGAGGGACCGCCAGCCCTGTGCCTGCGCCGTGGAAGACCCGGGGGTGCAAGCGCAGCGCCTCTCCCGGGCGTGCTCCGAGCTCCAAAGCCGCCGCTCTCCGCGGGGCGCATTGGAGGGAGGGCAAAGCGCCCCCCTTTCCCGGGCCCCGGACGCCGCCCGCGGGGAGAAGGGACCGAGAGTGGTTACCTGCCTGGCACGAGCTCCGCGGACCGGTCCGGGATCCTGGGCTCCGATCCGGAGATTCGGGGTCTGGGGTCGGAGGGTCAGGAGTCGTGGAGCGTTGGTAGGACCCGGGGCGCCGGTTGCCCTTCTCGCCGCGGGGCCGCTGCTTATATCTGCGCGAGGCGGCGGCGCGGGTGAGGTCAGCGCGGAGGGGTCGCGGCCGCCGGGAAGGGACGCTGACGGCAGCGGGCCCCGTGGGTACCCCGCCCGCCGGCCCGCCTGCCCGCCTGCCCGCCTGCCTGCCTGCTCCGCCGGAAATCTGGGGCGGGGGCGGCGGGGGCGGCGGGCGGAGGAGTGGGGGGAGGAGGCACGAGCCACAGAATGGGATGCTGGAGCGGGGTGGTTTCTGCATCCAGCTTCGAAGGTCTGATGTCTAAGAGAACACAAAGGCAGAGATGCTCTGAGAGAATCGCAGAGATGCGCACAGGACAGAATCGGAGGTGGAGATGGAGACAGAGATACAGGGCAGACACACGCCAGAGAGACTGAAAGACGCAGAAAGACGCAGAGACAGTCAAGATGGGGGAAGGAGTTGGGGGCTGCGGGGGAGAGGGAGGGGGAGTAAGGGAGAGACCGAGAGAGGAGGAAAGTGGACGAGTGGACCTGGGCTCTGATCTTGACTGTGTTGCCTCTAGAAAATGTCTCCCCCTCTCTGGGCCCAATTTTCTTTTCTTTTCTTTTTTTTTGGGGCGGGGGGCAATTTTCTCATCCCTACAGTGAGGGAGGGCCGCAGTTTCTAAAATTTTAAAACTGTGATGGACATGAGTTTGAGTAAACTCCGGGAGTTGGTGATGGACAGGGAAGTCTGGCGTCCTGCAGCCCATGGGGTCTCGAAGAGTCGGACACGACTCAGTGACTGAATTGAACTGAACTGGCCTGTTGGGCTTCCCAGGCGGCGCTAGTGGTAAAAGAAGCCACCTGCCGATGCAAGAGACACCGGTTCGATCCCAGGGGCGGGAAGATCCCCTGGAGTAGGAAATGGCTACCCACTCCAGTGTCCTTGCCTGGGAAATCCCATGGCCATGTAGTCTGGGGGGCTACAGTCCATGGGGCCGCCAAGAGTCAGACACCGCTGAGCGCACACAGGCTGCCACTAGTTCACGGCGGGTTTTGTTTCATTCCCACAGTGTTTTGGGAAAAACTCTTGAGTAAGCAATGTTTTACAGCCAGGAGAACTCAGGGAAATTATGGATTTACGGCTTCTCTTGAAAATCTCTAGGGAAAAAAAGTGGGCTTTCATTTCCTCCTGACAACAGCTGCCCCGGGTCACCACACCCTCCACCAATTTCTACTGTCTTCCCGGTGTGTTGCTGTGGTCATGGAGACGGGACATTGGAGTTTGTGACTCCTGAATAGGAAGTTTTATTTGAATCTCATACCCCAGCCAAAGGAAGTGAAGGGACAGAGCGAGGAGAAGAGCAAAGATCCCACGGAGCTCGTGCACCGAGCGGTCCCCGAAGTCAGATGATGCCTTGGAGGAGAGCATTGTCACACCAGTCCTGGGAACAGCCTCCACAGTGAAACAGTTAGTGGGCGCCCACAGTGTGCCAGGCTCCATGGTGCAATGCCTGAACATTATTCTGCCTCCCCTTACAATAGTTCTTCAGGCTAAAACTTGGAGTACTGTTGTATGTCTCAGGCCATGCTGGTGGTTTGGCAAGGGGAATCCGAGAGTGTTAGTTGTTACTCCTTTCCTTGGCAGAGCATCTAACTTTCCAGGCATGTCCACCACCTCATTGCTTCCCTACATCACCTTTACATCAGCCTTGTATCACAAGATAAGTGAGATAGGGACTATTAGTCCCACTTTACAGGGACATAGAGACTCGGAGAGGCAGAAAGACTAGAGATGGAAGGGAACTTTGAGATCATCAGCTATAGTTGGCTCCTCATTCTTAGGTGAAGATACTGAGGCCTGGAGAGGTAACCTGACCACCTTCCCATCTCCCAGACACATTTTGTGTCCCCAGGGTCAGATGTTGGATGGGGGTGGATTACAAATCTGAAATTCCAGACTTGATCTCCCAACCAGACCCCAGGATTGAAGAACTGCCATCTAGCTAAGCATTAAATCAGACAGACACATAGGCCTGTTACCTTTCATATATAGTAGTGGAGGTGGAAATCAATACCATCTCTCTGGGTGGCAACCTGAAAATCTAATGCACATGTACCTTCCCCAAGGCTTCACAGGTGGCGCTAAGAGTAAAGAACCTGCCAGCCAATGCAGGAGACGTAAGAGATTTGGGTTTGATCCCTAGGTGGGGACGATCCCCTGGAGGAGGGCATGACAACCCGCTCCAAGATTCTTGCCTGGAGGATCCCATTGACAGAGGAACCTGCGGGCTACAGTCCATGGGGTTGCAAAGAGTCAGACATGACTGGGGCAACTTAGCACGTAGTATGCACCTTCCACAAGACAATCCCATTTCCCAGAATTGACCCTATAGACACCCACACCTGCACATGAATTACATACACAGGATATTCAGGGCAGCATGATTTACAGAGGCCAGAACGGCAAACAACCTGGTTCTCTGTCAATCAGGAGAGGTCTGCTTGAATCGACTGGGGCCTCTCCGGAGCTACAGGTACTAGGTCACTCTTAGCCGGTGTGCAGTAAGCTCCAGGATGTATTGTTAAGTGAACAAAGCAGAGCAGAGAACAATTTTTACATCTGTGTGATGGCGCAGGAGAGGAACTGTGGTCCTCGTCTTCAGAGACTCCCTCCCGAGGGATGAAAGGGAACAGAGCCAGGGACCTGGGGGCTGGAGAAGGGGAGGTCAGGTGGGGGCTTGCTTTCACTTGCAGCCCTTAGAGGTATTTGGATTTTTTCCTCTGGGCAGGATTCCCTGTCCACAAGTTCAGTTCAGTCGCTCAGTTGTGTTCAACTCTTTGCAACCCCGTGGACTGCAGCACGTCAGGCCTCCCTGTCCATCACCAACTCCCAGAGTTTACCCAAACTCATGTCCATTGAGTCGGTGATACCATCCAACCATCTCATCCTCTGTTGTCCCCTTCTCCTCCTGCCTTCAATCTTACCCAGCATCAGGATTTTTTCAGATGAGTCAGTTGTTCCCATTAGATGGCCAAAGTATTTGAGTTTCAGCTTCCTCATCCATCCTTCCAACCAATATTCAAGACTGATTTCTTTTAGGATGGACTGGTTGGATCTCCTTGCACTTCAAGGAACTCTCAAGAATCTTCTCCAACACCACAGTTCAAAAGCATCAATTCTTCAGAGCTCAGCTTTCTTTATAGTCCAACTCTCACATCCATACATGACTACTGGAAAAACCATAGCTTTGACTAGATGGACCTTTGTTGGCAAAGTAATTTCTTTGCTTTTTAATATGTTGTCTAGGTTGGTCATAACTTTTTTTCCAAGGAGCAAACGTCTTTTAATTTCATGGCTGCAGTCACCATCTGCAGTGATTTTGGAGCCCCAAAATATAAAGTCTGTCACTGTTTCCATTGTTTCCCCATCTATTTGCCTTGAAGTGATGGGACCAGGTTCCCAGTCCACAAACCCACAAGCAATATGAAAAAAAACAAAACAACAGAATCTTGTCTGAGTCTAAGAGATTCCCTCCCAGGGGCAGGGGGAGCATCGCTCCCTGGTGAACCCATTTCTGTAATCAGGGGTCTGAGTTGCTTGTTAGGAGGAGAGTTTCTGGATGGTTGGGGCATGGGATGGGGGTTCCCATCTAGCCCAAGGGACCAGAGACGATGGTAAAGGCATCTGAGATGTCCTCAACAAGCCAACTCTGTCCCTTCCTTCCATCTCTTCTTTCCTTCTTTCAGCAAATATCCACTGAGTCCTCAGGAGCTACCAGGATCTGATCAAGACTTTGGGCACTGTATTCATGAAGTGTTGTTGGTGCTTTGACCTCTGGGGTCTTGCTGACTCCCTGGAGACCCTGACCCTCCCAGGATAGCCAGTTCCTAGAGGTAGTAAAGAACTCCCA